ACTGAGTACACAGAGCTCTCTCTCTCTCTCTCTCTCTCTCTCTCTCTCTCTCTCTCTCTCCTCATCTTTGAAATCCTCAATTTCAGTCGGGGGTTTTGCACATTACAGAAACCATCAAAAAGAAAAAAAAACAGCAGCAAAAAAACAAAACCATCACCAACTTCACCTCCCACCCCCCAAACAAAACAAACCAAAACGAATACTTCGCAACCAAAACTGGAGAACCTCATTAAATGCAGCACATACAACCAATAAAAAAGGAAGAAAAAAAAAACAACAGAAAAATGTGCAACCCCCCCCCCCCCCCTTTCCCCCCTCCAATCCAATAGGATTATAAATTGTTGAAAGTTATTGAGTATGACGCGGTTATTGTTATACTAATCACGAATCACTGTGCAAGACATTAAAAAAGAAAGGCCCATTGGCTCACTAAAGCGATAAGAAAAGCTGGGTTTTTCATCCCTTTCCTCCTCAGTTGTTGCAACAGGAGGCTATTGTAAATGTAGATGTTTTACGTCTCCATCGACACTTTTGAAATCATTTATGCGGCGGGCTGCGTCGACCCTGCTTGTTTTAGTAGTTTTAGGAAGAGTTTTACGACACTTGCAACACAATAAGGTCATATAAGTGCCGAAGATTAGAGGTGTTACAAGATAGTAACTAACACAAGAAAGAATGAGGGGAGATAGAGACGATAGATTTTTTTTTATAGGAAAGAAGGAGCAAACCACACCAGAGCACCCGCCAACCACCCGCGCCCCTGCTTGTCAGGGCCAAAATAGGTTAAAGGAGATACAGCATCCTCTTGGGTAAATAGGGACACTGGTGGGGGGGGGGGGGGGGGGGGGCAAAAGCAAAACAAAAACTAACAAACCAAAAACCAACAACAAAAAGCAAAAAGCAAAACAACAACATCATCAAAAATAATAACAATAACAACAACAACAGCAGCAGCAGCAACAACAACAACAAAGTAAATGAACAAACAACTGCAAAATGAATAAAAACAACCCGCCGTCCTGAGAATCGAACTACATTTTTAAATTTTTTTTTTTCTTTTGCATGCGACAGCGAATCACCCTAACGGCTGAACGTAAGACACTGGTGACACTTGCTGCCCCCAGAACGACACGACAAAGTTCTAACTGACATTTTTGGCCGTCTTGAGTTACTAAAACCACGAGGTCAGAAACCAAATGTTCTATCAGACTGCTCTATCAAAATCGTAAGAATATTCGGAGTCATTTTCAAGATATTGAAAGAAATGCTTTCGAAAAATCTTGAGAAATTTGACGTCAGATATTTTTAGTTTCTCAAAAATACGACAAAAAAATCTTGACTTAATATTGTGAATCTAACAAAAAAATGTCGTCACATTTCTCCAAACTAGATATTGAGCAGATAGACCTTTGTAATTCTTATTCTGAGATTACGAAATGGCAAGGAGACACACAGGGACAAGCTTTCTGCGTGGCAGACCTCCGTACGTGACCACTGTGTGCTGTGACACGGAGGAGACATTGTCGTGGTACGTCAAGTTGTGCCTCTGCGCGAACTACCCTGACACATGTCAGTGGTTACCACTAACAAGGTCTGCCTCAGCCGTCCTTTCTTAACCCTATCCCTACGCCTGGGGTCATGTTGTAACCCGGGGATTGTATTCTTCACATTTTAGAATACGTCTAGTACGAAAATCTCTTTGACACTTTCAGTATTTCTCAAAAAATCATTTTGACAGACTGCTATGCAAAGCGTACGGATTGGATTATCGAGTAAATTTCCTCTTTGGAAAATGGTGGCACAGAGTTCCCCGCGTCGTATGGATACGGTAGTAAAACTCAACGTACGGATAAGGGTAAAGAAACAAGTTAAAATCGTCTCCGTGCATAGCCTCTCGGCTACCATCCCTGTTGGTCCCGTCAGACAATGGATAACGTCCCGGCTACCCCCCCTCTCCCCCCCCCCCCCCCCCCGTTGGTCCTGTCAGACAATGGAAACCACGAATGTGCCCAGTACGCACTGACTTAACTTATCATCATCATTATCCAGTGGCATATCTGCGACTGTTCTGCGATCATGGGTGGTTCCCGGTTCATTCCTTTGCCCGGATGCCCCCAAAAAAAAAAGCTACGTTGCCCTTATCTTTCCCTGTTACCCATTTGTTTTGGGTTCCCTAAGTAGGCTGGTCTGAGCCTAACCTTGTCGCGTTTTCCTTCAATTTTGCCAGTGAGAGCAAAATGTTCAAGACCCTTATTTTTATTTAGGTGGCCCCAAAACTGCATAATTTGTTGTTTTTTAAAATGGTTTTTAATAACAGGGGGGTCAACTTATACATAAGGGGATCTCCCAAACTGTGCATTCCGGCGGATTTCTGGTTCCCTATGGAGCGCCACATTTCGCTCCCCAGGAACCATCAAAGTTCTATCCCCCCAGAACCTACTTTTGGGTTATTCGAAGTATAAAATTTTTGAGTTTTACAAAACAGCCAAGCTTTTTCTAAATGCAAATTTCTTTGAAGCTCCCCGTAAACAGCCCCCCAAAAAAACAAAACATTCTTTAAAAATAAACCTTGTCGGGTAGTTAGGAACGGGCCTCAAGGAGGTTTCCCCAAAATGACCCATAAATGTCCAAAAGAAACCCGGAATTCTAAAGCGGCGCTTTGGGCCCCAGTTTGAGGTGGGGGGGGGGGGGAGACCAGGGCCCCCCAACCCGGCCGAAATCAGGCGCCCCTACCGCTC